TTTAAGGTCAATTTTAAGTGACCATATCTCGGGAGTCTCTTAAATTAGATTAAATATTAATGTGTCAACGATGAAGAATTTATTTAGTTTTAAATTGGTATGCTGCATGGGTTGGTAATGCAAGGCTTTAACGCGATGACTGGGTGATTACATTTTCAAGTTTCTTTTGAACGCCACTGTAAAACTACGTTTACAGTAAGTTTTGCGCGTCAAAACTTTAAGGGCTTTTTCTCAAATAAGGCTCTTTCAAAGGGGGTGCGAACACAAAAAATCTATCATTCCAAAAGCTGTTAGGATATCTTCATAATTTTTGGTATACTGATAGATTGAATATTATTCTAGTGTAATAAGCAGTGACGTCGAAAAAAAAATATTGAATAAATGATTCTATTATGAGGTTAATCCGTTGTTATGATCTGAGATTTTTGTGGTCAAAATATTCTCCTAGTTTGGTCCTCGATTCTGAAAAAGTTTTTCCTCCTAGATCTACATAAAAAATGCCAAGTCCATCCACTAAAACAGCCACAGAAGGCAGCAAAACCACTTATTATGACATTTTAAAATCATTTATAACCTTAGGATAGATTTTTTTGAAACGTGTACATTTTATATGACATTCCAATATGGCAGCCGTTACCATAGCAACACAAAAGAATTTTGAAAATTTTACTTCATTACCTAATTCTCCACTCTATTTATATTGATGCTACCACATCTGTAAGGTTAGTTTCTTCTTCTTAACGAATTTCAAAATTTCCCCCGCATCATGCCTTAAGTAACAAAACACATTTTTGTTTTTATTACAAGCAAGAAAGTCTTAATATCTCTGCAGAACTCTCCAATGCGCATTCAGGGCCAGCCAGATTTTCCTCCAATGAAGGGCGAGCGCGAGTCCCACTCTCCTTGTCCCGCAGCCCGCAATCCTCTCCGCCCCCACCCAAGTTGAGGTGCACCAGGGTGCGATCTCTTCTGTCCATTGGTTGGAACTTGTTCATTTTCTTTTAATAAGGGGGTTGGACTATACCATCTTTTGTAAAATAAGGGGAGCCAGGTTAAGGTTCCGTTCTTGCCCTCGCGTTCCGCAGGGAAGAGTGGTGATTCAGTTCCACCGTTCTCTATCTCGCGACCCGGCACTAGTGTCTGTGTGTGCATCATGTAATGCACATATGTATGTGGGTGCATGTCTTTGTGAGTGCACGCGCTCGGAGAGTGAGGGAAAGGGGGTGGCAGGGAAAGAGAAGGACAGTGACAGGGGGAGAGAGAGAGAGAGAGAGAGAGAGAGAGAGAGAGAGAGAGAGAGAGAGAGAGAGAGAGAGAGAGAGAGAGAGACACAATAAGTTAAATAAGAACCCAATACTGTTGAAAATCCGCCCCCTGTCGAAGTTGCCCACAGCCCCTGTCGGAGTTGCCCCATGCAGGGGTCGAAGTTGCCTCAAGTGAGGGTATGGTATGCCACGAAATTGTGATTGGTTGAAAATTCGGAATGCAAATAGAGCAAAGAACATAAAAATCGAGAAGCAAAATGGCTGCTCTACTCTGCAAGACCAAGATAGTCTGCGTTCTTTCATAAAGGTGGTAGCAGTATCAGTTACTTTGGCGGCACTACACGATCCTGTTAAAGTTGCCCCAACCTACCCTAACCCTCTAATTCATAGTGGTCGCTCATTATGGAATTTCTCCTGATTCGACTCACAACCTTTTGAAGGTCACAGGTCACAGTCGAATTTTGTCCATTTCGGCCAAACAGCATCAAAAGGACAGCTATTGCCCCATTAGAGAAGGAATGTCCGGCTGGTCCCAAAGTAATCAGATTGATTTGATAGGCAGTGTGCGCTCAGTATCCACAAAAAGCATTCACCTGACTGTCTCACCAAGCATGCCTAGAATCACACACAAGTCTAGAGCTTTAACAGTGACATTCAATTTTCAGCCCTCAATATTCAACGACTGTAAGGGGTTATGAACCAGACCTAGATTTTTATCTAAATACCTTGCATGATATCATTATCACCTATATTATAACTATAAGTATCAGATGAAGCAACTTGAAAAAATATATCTTGTATCCACAAAGAAAGTGGTTATTCTCACCCGTCCGGAAGTTCTCGCAAGATCAACTCCTCCCCTCTTCTCTCTCTCTCCGTCTCTTTCTGAATACTGTCTATCGGTGTGTACAGGAGGAGTGGCCAAAAACGAGTTCAAAGAGAACTGTCATCTAATTTTAACAAAGGTTCAGAAACCATCTTCTAATTTTAAAAAGGCCACCTCTATTCTCACCCCGGGTGAGAATAGCGCAGGCGAGCCTTTTGGCTATTCTCACCCGGTGTGCCTTCACCGTGATAGGCCATCCAGTGAAGTGTTCACCATCGTGAACAAACGTTCCAGCGCTCTTGTGTTGAAAGTGTGCAATTTTGTCTGTGGGCAGTGAGAGAGAAAGGGAGAGAGAGAGAGAGAGACAAACAGACAAACAGACAGACAGAGAGAGAGCAGAGAAGTAGCGCGAGAACTTCTGGGAAAACAAAGGGCGACCCGCGTAGTTTGGCTTGATTCGAAAAGTGAAATAGCCGTAGCATCTTTGTAGACGACCAAATTAATTTACTTTTGTATTTTAACATCATTGTCTTTGTTTTTGTCAACTTGAAAGTCCACACCGATAGACAGTGGAGAGAGAGAGAGAGAGAGAGAGAGAGAGAGAGAGAGAGAGAGAGAGAGAGAGAAGCAGACCTTGTGAGAACTTCCGGGGAAAATAAAATGGCGACCAGCATAGTTCGGCTCGATTCGAAAAGTGAAAAAGCCATAGTATCTTTGTAGACGACCAAATTAGCTTACTTTTGTGCTATAACGTCATTTTTTCTTTGTTTTTGATTTTGTCTATTTGATCATCCACACCGATAGACAGTATTCCAAAATTAGAAAAAAACAGATCTTATTTCACACAGGGTGAGAATAGCCAACGCTGGCAAGTCTCACCCGAGGTGAGAGGTCGATCGTATTTTTATTCTCACCCGGGGCCAGGGTGAGGATAGCCACTTCCTTTAAAAAAAGAAATCTAACTAAGGACGTGTCTGGTAAGTCCTTCAACCCTGGCTCCAAACACTCGGATTCAGAATAGTCAGAAAATATACAGGTTGATAACTCTAGATCTAGATATCTAGATCTAAATCATGGCCGTCGTCATTCGGACTCGAGTCCGAATAAAAAAATGTCTTATTCGGACTCGAGTCCGAAAATGAAAAAATGTTACAGTGGAGTCCACTTATAACGAGTCCTGAAACAACGAGAAGTCTGTTATAAAGACACTATTCTAAAACCCCGTTTTTTCCCCTTCTTTATCTTTGTAAATAAAATACTGCTATTGCGCTATCAGACAGTCACGCGAGTCGGTTATAAAGGAATATATTGCTGATGCTGTGCACAGCGCACAGACCAATTAAACATATAAAACCTCGCCAGTTAAGAAAGTTGTTGGTGATCCAGCGAAACAAAGAATGGGAGAGCCCACGCAAACCAACAATGAAGGCCGGAGCGAATGAGTGGGGAGGGTGTGGCATGCGCAGACAAGCAGAACGCATCGCGTGATAAACCAGCCCAGTCTACATTATCTAGGCATAGGCCTACCGTGCCTCTCACTTGTCTGGTGCGGGATGGAGAGGTCACAATGCTGTGATAGATGGAGTGAACGTGTGACGTGCCCAAACAGACGCAACGCACCACGGGGTGTGGTAAGGAGGGGAACAACACAGCGGGCGAGTTAGCCTAGAGCCAGAGCCCCTTCTTTCTGATCGCCAACGCCGATTTGTCAACATTGCTAGTGCTAGAGGAAGAAACCTGATTCGATTTTTGATCAAGTAAGACCTACAGATCATGTCGAACAAAATCCTCATCAGGGGAAATACAAAAAGGAATAAACAGAACGCCAAACTCATAGATTAGGCCTACTTTACTATTTCCCTTGAATTTATTACTGGATCCCTTGTAACGAGAATCCTGTTATAACGGACATTTCCCACCAGTCCCCTCCCTCTCCTTATAACAGGATTCCACTGTATTCGGACTCGGGTCCGGAAAAAAGGAAGTGTCTTTGTTCTATAGATCTAACGTTCAGTGCTTCCAATTTTCCGCAATTTTTTAGTTTCCCCCACACCTTTTCTGCCGATCCGATGCCCGCCGCCTCATTGATACGCCCCCCCCCCCCCCACCCCCACGTTTCCCACTTTCTTTGTTGTACAAGTAGAAAAAGGTTTAATTGGAGATTAGCAGACCACCTGGCACCTGCATATTATGAGCTGTGTAAAAAATAAAAAGACCGATTCGTTCAAATACACAAGCCTGTGTCATATCGATTGTTTACCAAGAAAAAGCTGTGTTGCTGTGTAGAGCTGAGCATACGGCAACTTTTGATTTCATAGACCAGCGCACAATTCATCATTACGTAGATCTACGTCAAGACTAGCTTATTAATGTAATAATGATCAGTTGCCGGAGGGAAAAAGACTGACGCGTATGCGACGTTCAACGTCCGGACCGATAGTGCCCCCCCCACCCCCCTCCCCGACACGCACACAGCCACACGAGTGCCGGCCGCCCATCCCACCCCGACACACGCTAACGAGCCATCTTTAATTGCTTCTGATGACCTCTTGACAAATAAACATTTATTAGAAGCGCTATAGACACCTGCCCTTGGCGCGACCGTGCCCTGAGCGCGACCAGTTCCCCATTTTTCCTTCTGTGCAGCTCGTGTGCAATCTGTTTTATTAGAGTTACGTGCCTTGTCTAGTTCCACTTTTGGTCAATCCTTTTGCGAGAACGTCAGTCGTCTGCTAGTGCAGCAGTCGAGTTCCAAATGAAAGGCTTATCAGAATCGTTCTTTGAGAAGTTTTCTTCAGTTACTAAACTAGAGTAGCTGGCCCAACCCGCGACCACTTGTCTCTGTACCCTCTGTTATCAATAAGATAATTGTTTTCATCATGATTTGATAAAGAAATGATTTTACTAACCTTTAAATGGTGTACTAACAACTTTCTTGCACCTGTCATATCTGTGCTCGCATGGTCGCGCCCTGTTCCGAATGCGGTCGCGCTGAGGGCATGTGGTCGCGCCAAGGGCAGAGCATTAACATGTTAAAATGCGAAATCTGCGAATGACGTTTTGGAATGACTGACGATATCACAGTATAAACCGGAAGTTGACACATTGAAGCGGCCCTGAACATGGATTGCATAACCTATTTTGCTGACAGAGACCGCTGAGAAGCAAAATACGACTAATGGTCGCAGGTTGGGCCAGGTAGCCTACTCTATAAACTTTTCAGGCCGGCCTCAAATTCATCATAAGATTAAAACCCGGCTCCTGCACAAAACGCCTTTTTGCCCGAAGTGATCCCGGTCTCTACCCAGCCTGAGGCGAGTCACGATTGAGGCAGGACAGGAAGCCGGTTTCACGAGTCACAGGAAGTCGGAAGTCGGAAGTGATGTCATGCTGGACAAGAATCAGAGTCTGAATAACATTTTTTCATATTCGGACTCGAGTCCGAATAGTATTAGTCACTTCGCTAAATCATAGGAACAGAGCAGAGACGGACACTCTGACTCTGAAAGAGTGAGACAGGCCGGACTCCGTGAGAAATGCCATCCGTACCGTGGTGGTGAATAAGGTTCCGGGCCGGGTGAATAAATAAATAAATGGCTGTAACGTGCTCAGCCTTCTCTCCAAATTTTAATGAGAGGGATCGTTAATAGAGATCTAAATCTGGACCCAGTCAAAGCATTTCCAGTTTTATTAGAACTTTTCTCGGGATACAAATAAATGCTGAACCCTGTTTTGTATAAGCTTATCCTACTGTCCATAAATAAGTACAAACCTTATGAACTTGAACTAACGGTGTGTCGGAATCGGGAAGGCCACGACCACAGAAAACGAAAGTTCATACATCCGTCATAAACAGGAAACGATGTATTGATATTGATTGTTCCAACTCTATGTTAAAAGTTTATCTTAATGTCTTTCTAAGACTTACCTGGGTTTTTTTATAGTTAATATGTTAAATTTTGACTTGATTAATGGAAAGTAAAGCTAATCATGTTGCATTATTCATCTACATGGATGTACTTTTTTTCGGTTGTTTTTAGGCCCAGGCCTTTTTGGATGTTTTGAGAGGTTGTTCGGCTCTTCCGGGTTCTGTAGTACTGTACTGTACTCTGAATTACACATTACACATACAACACACAACTTGAGTCTACTGCTGTCACAGTGCTAGAATAGATCCTGGGTTGCCTCAGGATAAAGTTATTAACTCTAAATTTTCAGCACACAGAGCACTGTCTGCAACAACAGTTTCAGTTTTATCCTCTGTTTTCAGTTCTAGATCTCTAGACTATTTGTTGTTGTCGTTGTAATAACGTGCTCCCTTTACACTTCACTCTGCTTTGACTTTGATTGTGACGAGATTGTTGGAGGAGGCTTATAATTCTTACGCTTGGCTAGTGAGCCCAAGCTTTGGCAACTTTGTTTCTGTTTCCTCTTGGATTTGGAGATCAGTTACATCATCTTCATCTAGGCCTACGGTCAGTCTGCACACAGATCTTGATTCACAGAAGTAACTCACCAATACAATGGCAAGCAAGCTGAAGAAGCTGGTTGATGATGTAAAGGACTCAAGCAATCCTGAACTTGATCTTGTTGACAAGGGCATTGTCAATATACTTGAAATTCCTGGGTTTGGTAAGTACTAAATAAGCCGCGACCGTGCCCTGAGCGCGACCAGTTCCTTATTTTTCCTTTTTTGTGCTGCTCGTGTGCAATCATTTATTAAAGTTACGTCCCTTGTCTAGTTCCACTTTTGGTCAATCCTTTTCCGAAAACGTCAGTCGTCTAGCGTGCAGCAGTCGAGTTCGAAGTGAAAGGCCTTTCGGAAACATTCTTCGAGAAGTTTTGATGTGTGTGTCTTCAGTTACTAAACTAGAGTAGCTGGCAGAACCCGCGACCACTTGTCTCTATACCCTCTGTTTATGATCAGATTTATAATTGTTTTCATTACAATTTTCTAAAAGAAATGATTGTACTAACCTTTAAATAGTGTACTGACAATTTTCTTGCACCTGATGTCTGTGCGAGCATGGTCGTGCCCCGTTCCGTATGCGGTCGCGCTGACGGCGTGCGGTCGCGCCAAGGGCAGAACATTAAAATGTTAAAATGCGAAAACTGCGAATGACGTTTTGGAATGAGTGACGATATCAGTGTATAAAGCGGAAGTTGACACACTGAAGCGGCCCTGAACACTGAACATGGATTGCCTGATCTATTTTGCCGACAGAGACCGCTGAGAAGGAAAATACGATGTAAGCGGTCGCAGGTTGGGCCAGCTACTCATATTTTCGGAAGGAGTTTTGCTGAAGGCCAGCCGACGAACAACACCATACCCTAATTTTTGTATAGAGATTCCACATATGAAGCTACAGCGAGCACCTAGCACAACTCTGTGATTGGCCCAAATACAGTGGAGTCCACTTATTTATAACGAGTCCGGAAAAAACGAGAAATCTGTTATAAAGACACAATTCTAAAACCCCGTTTTTTCCCCTTCTTTATCTTTGTAGATAAAATACTGTTATAGCGCTATCAGACAGACATGCGAGTCGGTTATAGCGGAATATTGCTGCTGCTGTGAACAGTGAATAGGCCAATTATACATCATGCTAACCCTCGCCAGTAAAGAAACTTGTTGGTGATCTTACGAAACAAAGAATAGGAGAGCCCATGTGCGTCAACAATGAAGGCCGGAGCAACTGAGTAGGGAGGGTGTGGCATACGCAGACAAGCAGAACGCATCGCGTGATAGGCCAGCATAAGCCTAGTTCAGATTATCAAGGCCTACCGTGCCTCTCACTTCTCCGATGCGGAGATGGTAGCTGGGGAGCACAACTTCGAACACAGTTAAAATAATTGTCTTAATCCTGCGTAAATGCTGCCAGCTAATGAGTGCAATATAGTAGGCTCATGGAACGACACCAAAAAGTCTTCATAACAATTGAGGGTTCACTCCTCTCTTTGAGCCAATTAAAAAAGTGTCCTCAAAATTGGTGGCGCCCTCTTCACAAATGCGCACCCTTTGCGAACAGAGTTACCCTACTTATGTGAAAAAAATCAAAGTGAAACTAACAAGTTTTTAAATAAAAATATGAATTCAAATTTCAGAAGAACTCTTTTTTAAAGTGGGTAAGCTGACAAAAAACCTCTTCCGGAGGAGAAGGTGACTGTTTTCTTCGTTTAATTTGACTTTAGAATCATTCAGAGTGATCATAAAACACTCTAGGAGTTAAAAATTAAATTCAAATATATCAAAATATAATCTTTCTTTAAGGAATTTGAAAATTGTTCTTGTTTTGGGGGTACGGAAGCATTTTTAACTTTATCCAGCCCGCCCTCTCGCTCAGTCAGTTTATAATTGACTAAAGTGCTTTTATTTTCACATAAGCACTTTAACTCTAAAATCTGTGATCCTAATTAGCCTTTTTTTTGGTACTTTAAATCTCTAAAGAGATATTGAGGATAACACCATAGCTATTGCTTGACTCTATTAATTTTCGGATTTTCGCATCAACTGAGGCTCTCGAAACTGCATTTTTCAAAATCTGTGAGAGATATTTTTAAAAAGCCCTATCAGGATCACAGAAAATTCATTTTTATATAGTCAGGCCAAATATGAAAGAAATCCTCCCCTTGTGTTTTAAATGAGAGTCCAGGCTGCAACCTATACCCCTTAATTTTTGTCGTTTTGAGAAAACTTGAAAAAACGTATTGATTTTGTTATAACTTTCTAACCGAAACAGATAGAGAGCATGAATTGGATTGTATAAAGACAAATAATAATTTCTCAATGTACCCAATTCTTTTATATATCTAATTCTAAGAAAAAATTCCCCCCAAAGTACAGTAGTAGTAATGCAACAGAGAGGTCAATTTAGTGGGTAGTATCAACTGAAAAGAAGAAATGGGAAATTTGTCAAAAACATGCAATTCCAAGTTACCAAGAGGAAAACCCAATCATAAATTGCAGAAGGACTTCTTTATTCCTAATCTGTCCATATTCCTAGGCAGTAGAAAGGTGTGTCAGACCAATTTTCCTCCTCTAAAAGATGGTCCTTTCCTGTTTTTCTAAACCACACCCTCTATGGAAGTCTCTGCCCTCTATATTTGGGTACAGTCCCTTCTGGTGCCTCTCTCTCCATGGTTTGGGCTGAGACCTGCAACTTCAGAAACAGCAAAAGCGTCTGGGTGCAGAGGGCCCCAAAATTCCAGTCTGCAGTAGTGATAGCAAAAGTTGCTTCTACTCTTGGTTTGGTCACAAAGACCATCTTAGGGCACTTCAACCAGGTGTGAACATATGGAAACTCTCGTTCTGTTTTTGTGTCACGCCAGGCACTTACTTGATTTCCTTTAGCTCATCTGTGATGCACAGGCTTCACAAATGAGGGGGTTTGAGGTGGGCAGAAAGCCTTCCCTTGTGTGATGGTGCTGTGCTTCCTTGGCTGTAATTTGTAAAAGTACAGACAGATCACTCGAATTCGTTGGGACCGGCCTCGGTAGTTTGAGGGATATCTTTAAAAAATAAAGTAGGAAAAAGAAACGGGACCGCAGACACAGTTCGACGAATGCGTGATTTTGAGTCTTCTGTGTTATACTGTAAAAGCACCAGTTGTTTTCACCAGTAGGTGGGCACTTGCCATGCTGTGGGGCTTCGTATGTGCTGGTGCTGTACAGCAAAATGGCCACGACTGCATTTCACATTAGCTGTGGAAAGAGTTGAACGACCTCTGATGTTTTGTGTAGTAGGACTGGAGACATACAATCTGCTCCTGGTTGAAAAGAATGGAAGCGAAAAAAAAATCTGGAAAAAAACCCCATAAGAACGAAGATTTAGAAGTTGTATTATCCTCTGCAGACAGAATCTGGATTGCATTCAGTGACAAGCTAATTACTTTGTAATTGCAGACTAAAAACACATTTAAACACCCTAAGCATCGGGGAGTTATTTATGCAGACCCCAAGCACAAGAATTCAGCTGATAGTCCCATTTCATTTATAAAAAAAAAATAAAAAGGACAAGGAAGCAGAATATATATATAGGCGCCTACCTATACTCAAACCCTGCAAAACTACCACCCTGTTTTACTAGCCCAGCTTTCCACCATGGTCGACCTATCCGAAGATTTACAGTTTTAACCCTAAACTTGTGTAATTCAAGAAAAAGTACAGGACATTACATGCAAATTATGGAATCACACACGAGGGGCCTGCCTGTGTCAGCATTTGGTGTTGGTAGAGACCAGCTCTAACATATTACATTTTTTTTTTTTTTTAAGGTAGGAACTACATCAAATTAAATGACATTACGCTAAATAAACACACAAAAATAGAAAACATATCGGAACAATAAGCAAGAAAAAAAATAACACTCCAGCAAATTAAAACTCAACAAAGAGGTAAAAAAACCCAGAAACAACAATATAGTATGTAATGTACTTATACTAGGTTATTTTCTTCACATGAAAATATCAAATCAACTTGGCGTCAACCTGTGAGAAAGAGATGAAGTGAAGTGGAAGTGAAAATAACCTTTCTTTCTTAATGAAAGTAAAAAGGTTCGGTTTCTTTTTCTCTTTCTTTTTAAAAATTTTTATACCCCTGAGTTTTTCTTGGGATTTTTTATTCCCCGCTGTGTTGTTGTTTTGGTCGATATTTTGTTGGGTTGTTTTTTTTTAATGCAAAAATCGTGGGTCGTGGCAGCGACAAACGCAGATGCTAGCATAGGAATGGAAGTAGGCCTTTGAGTAATCTACCTTAATGGTTAATTAACGTAGGCATTGTAGCTGTCTCTGTATAGATGTTTCAATATATGCTATTGTTAACATTGTGCAAAAATCACCGAAGGGAATTAAGTGAACAATTTTTAAAGTATCTCTTTGCTATCCAATGCTTCGACAGATATTAAACTCACGGTCACAATATGATGTTATTAGCAACCAAACTAGATTATATCTTTACTTGTATGCTATCAACCAGAAAAAAATGTTGATTTCTCATTTTTTATGTTTTCCCTTTCAGTCAACCTGAAGAACCTAACAAAAGTTGTTCTGGCCCATAACAAGATCACATGTGAGTAAAAATAAAAAGATGATTTAAATTGTGAAGGTGACTGTATTTGAATTTCAAATGATGTTATGTATATGCTCCATAAAAATTAGGATTGTGGTAGTGGTAGAATTTGATTTTCTTGTTTGTAAGAATTGGGTGGAGGGGGGGGGTCTTCTGATTTGCAATCAGTGAATCATGATTTAGATTGAGGAGCTGTTACATCAACTCGGTTTCTTCAAACTAGTCTTCTTTTCGATGGCACCACACTTGAAGTCAGGTATCTATCATATATACTGGGCCGTCCCGCTCGGTTCTTCTGTCGGCCTGTACAGCTTCTCTTGTAGTGTCAATGGGGTGGGCCATGTTTCCTGTCTCAGTGCCCTGTATGTCTTGCACTGCAGAAGGATGTGTTCCACATTTTGGTCCACTTCTCCACACTGGCATTTTGGTGATTGTAGTAGTTTAAAACATCGTACCTCTGTTATCTTATGCTATGGGGAGGATGTCAGTTCAGTACTCCATTGATTTTGACTTGGGCAGAGCACATCATGATTCTTATTTTTTTAGGTGACTTGGTATAAGAGGGGAGGGAGGGGGAGAAGATGATGGGTGATGTATTGCTGATGTCTGATTTTTTTACTTCCAGTTTTTTAATTATGCTGAGTCTCACAGAGTTTTCAGAATTATAACTGTCTCAGTATTAAGTAGGCCTACTGACCAAATTTCGTTTTCAGCTCTTAAATTTTGGAAGTTCTCAAGATCTTTTTCATTTATCTACATGTCTCCTAAAATTTTGTAATCAGGTATGCTTTTATTGTGTGCTCATTCAGGTGTTTATAAGCAGGTGATTATTATAAAGGATGCCATCAGTAGGTCCCACTTCTAATAGTTATCTACTCTTACTCTGTTCATCATTCTTGCTATTTCATTACAGTAAATGACGGTTATTGTATGGTGTTATTTTATTCAAACAGAATAGCAGATACATTTGTCTATATTTTGTTTCAGTGAGATGTTGTTTTAACATTTGGTTTTCTTTGCTCTTTTTGTCCGGATAGCTGTACCACCCAGCATTGCCAACTTCTTGAATTTGGAAATCATCATCCTCTTCAATAATGCCATTGAGGTAAGATTGGAGTGGTCCAAAATGTTAACTTCAATGTCTTGTTTATTTTCTACTGTGTATTATAGATTCCCTTTCTTTTTGTTTATTAACACTGCATCTTGGATTTACAAGGACTTTACTATTATACTATAGAGGCTGCTCAGTGCTTATATTTCCCAATATACTTCATATATGCATGACTTTTACCCAACGAATACCCATTTTGTGTTGCAAGTATGGTCTCGGAGTAAGACTTGCACACCAAAGGCATTTTCAGAAGGGCAAAACCATCAAATAAGGGGGTGGAGGGGGAGGAAGGTAATGTGTGATGTAAAATTGTCAACTTATATCATTGCATTATGTCAATATGCACAAAGCCATCAAAGTTAAGCTTGGTCAAATCTTTCAAGACCATGGCAGTTTGGTATATGCACAGACCAGAAACATAATTCTACCCAGGATGTGATTATGAGCTAGATGTCAAGCAATTTGCCAAAATTCCTTTAGTTATATCATATATAAGCATGTCCTGCTATTAAGATACAACTGGTGCCTTGACATCTTTATGTTATTATCCCCCTGCTTGCAATATTTTAAAAATTTTTGATGAACTGTTTAGGATTTAAAGATACCTACCTCACATTCATGAGATCCATCATCTGTTCTTCCCAGGAATTGCCTACAACCCTCAGTTCAATGCCAAAACTGAAGACTTTGAATGTTGGGTAAGTTAAAGTTGTGATGTGCTTACTGCAATAATTTCTTAGAGTCCATTTATGTTGATTTTAGTATATTTTTGGTTGTTTGTAATATATGAGCATAATGTCCTTGAAAATAAGCAACCCACAGTTTATTATATTCGTATTTCCGAGAAAATTTGTTACTTTTTGATTGGAAAGTTGAAAGCTTACGTTGCAGTTTTTAAAGTTTGGTTTTTGTTACTGGTGAGTGTTAGCTTAACTTCAGGAAATATCAAGATTTCGAAACACCCAATTCAGATTATTATTTAAACTTGCTGTGGGCAAGGTTCATCATTGTCTTCATTGGTTTTATTTCATCTCTTATGGAGACCTCAAACAAGATGTCACCACACATGTCTGGCGTGACAAATGGGCATTTTTTGGCTAATATAGTCGTGAAATCTTCACTTTAAGTTTTGTAGAACAAATATCAGTACAATCAACAACTATCATAAATTGAAAGACTAGTTGAACAATGTCACAACACAAATTGACCAATAGACTTCTTTATATAAAATCTGTTAAGACTGTACTTTCCAACTCGCAGTTTAAGGTCATCAGCTGACAAAAAGAAATTTATTTTACCCTCTATGAAACTTAAAACAATGGGTGAAAGGGCATTTGAGTACCAAGGCTCCAAGATCTGGAATGCTTTACCAAGTACTTTAAGAGAGGTCAAATCTTTTGATTCATTCAAATGTCAGATGAATATTTGGAGTAATTTTCTTTAGTCAGAACACAACGTTTTATGTCACTGTTGTATGTTTTACTGTATTGTAAAGCGCTCAGAGCCTGTGTACTTTAATTGGGGTTGAGTGCTTTATAAATTTCATTTATTATTATTATTATTATATGATCGTGCACCCAGCATTGTCGCTGTTTGTCAAAAAGTGGATGCTTCAGGTAGCATTTATTTGATGGTCACCATGTCCGAATCATTGTAAAGTAGACACATTGTACGTGCTCTTCTAGTGCTTCTTTATATCCACAGTATGAATCGGTTGTCGGCGTTGCCTCGGGGATTTGGAGCATGCCCCATGCTTGAGGTCCTGGATGTTACCTATAATAACCTGAGTGAGCACAGCTTACCCGGAAATTTCTTTTGTTTGGGTAAGTTTTTCATATGATGATGTCATAGCTGTCATAAGAAAAATGAGCAGCTCTATTTAACCCTGTTTTGATAATGATAATAATAATGCTGATAAGCAAACATTTATACTGTCACGATGCAATCGAACATATAAGAGTATTATGTATAAGAAAGACTAACTATCACATGGCATACTGCATGTTTGTAACTGAAGTTTAAATTTTGCCTCTGACTTTAATTTCTTCAAACGTTGTTGGAGACAGTTTCAGATAGACGAAGGAAGATGAAAAAGGACCTCCCAGCGAACTTTTGAACCCCCCCCCCCCCTCCAAGGTGCTTTCATAAGAGACTGATCTCCTGATCTTATAGATCTTGGTAGAACAGACGTTTGAATAAGATTTCATAATTCAAGGGGTGCTTTGTTGTTCACACATTTATGGCAAAAGACTAATCTTGTAAGAAATTCCAGCTGTTTGTGGGAGCCAATAGTTTTCTTCAAGTAGGGGCTTTACACTGTGAATAATAAAAAAAATTGCAGTTACTTGGGGTTTTTTTGTGACTGGGACAATATGTACAGTGCTCATTTCTACATGATATTCAAAAATTAATTTGAGACTCATTTGCAAAGTTTTTTTTAGTTAAAGTTATTGTTAGTGCTAACACAACTATTGGCTGGTTGTAGAAGTGGTTAGTTTTCAGTAGCGTTCCTAGATCATGTCTGGTTCCAAGCAACAGTGGTTGCTAGTGTCTAGTGACTTCTGAAGGAAAAAGCTGGAACTAATAACATTGTGAAGCGAAAATGTCTCATGAAAGAATGCCATAGTGGCCAAACCGATGTAATGCCACTGTACTGCTCATAATTTTTCTTGACCATAATTTTATGTAGCTCTAATATTGAAAAGATGAATTTCCTCACCTTTGAACTTAATGGGTTTTAAAATTTACCAACCTCAGTTTTACTTTTGAGCCTGTTCAGTTGTAAATAAAAGAAAGCTTGGGAATTTTTGCTGAAAGCTGGTTATTGTGGATGGAAATAACTGTCGTAAAATACTACCTTAATCGGAAAGTGGGTGGTTGACGGGTGCTTTGGTTTGGTTTGCTTCTTCTTTCCTCTCAAACATCTATCGTCCTTGTCTCCCCTCCTTCTTTTTTATGTTTGTTACTATCTTGTAACACCTCTGATCTGCTGGCGCTCATATGACTTTATGCAGTTGCGAGCGCCGTAATACCTCTACTAAAACAAACAAACAATTAATCAGAAATCTGCAGGACTGCTGGATTTTCTTCAGTGTAACTGTTCCGAGAGGTTATTAACACAGAAAAAAAGGGGGGGATTTATTTTCTTTCTGCTGTTTTCAGAATAACTTTCAGGTTTTAGTGGACTCTACTTCATGATAAATTGAGTAACACTATGCAGCTATGGAATGCTTTACCATGGAAATTTTTTTCTTGTTTTTACTCTTTATGGTGAGCTTCTGATCTTCAGATACATTGAGGGCCCTCTACATGGGAGACAATGACTTTGAGAACCTACCACCTGAATTTGGAAGGTTGAAAAATCTACAAATTGTGAGTCCTGTTGTATTTACTTTCACAATTTTAAAACTGCTCTAAACATACGCAACTGTTATTTAATCAAATATCTACATGTGTCTACCAAAATGAACCGTGTGGCCAGAGAGAGAGACCAATGATGAAATGACCACTGAAAGTTTTTAGTGAATATTATGGTCTGTAGGGTAGTAAAGTCTGACATGAAGAAGTGGGATCGATGAAAGCTTTGGACAAGGGATAGAAATGTTCTGTACAATTTACCGATGGGCGCAATCTCACAATCTTAAGATTGCCGTAGAATTGTATCATTCTTGTGAGCTCTGCAGTTTCACATCTTAATTTTAATTTTACAGTTCATATTTTTGCACTTTTGAAAATATACATGAATGTTCTTTGATGTGAGTAAAAGAATAAAGATGTGGAAGTGAATGTTTATAAAATTATTTCAAAAATATAAAATAAATTAAATGTACTTTTGGACTTTGAGTTTGATACCTGGCTTTGTATAATTCTTGTGGGCTCTTCAGTTTCATATGTTAATTTTAATTATAATTTTAATTTTCTTATTTTTACACTTCTGAAAATATAGGTGAATGTTCTTTGATGTGAGTAATAGAATAAAGATGGAAGTGAATTTTTTTTAATTATTATTTTTAAAATATAAAATATTAATGCAACCTTAAGATTGACACACAATTATATGATCCTTAAAACATGCAACAGAAATACTTAACCAATAACAGGTATTCTGAATTCTTTCATTTATACAAGCAGGGGTTAATTTATATTGAGTAGTGAGGAAATTTAGTCCGTAGTTTTGAGTGTTTGTTCTGACTGTTGATGTGGGCTTGCTGAATTTGTTTTAAGTAGAGTACTCTTTGATGTTTTTAAATGTCACAATTTCAGCTTTATTCTAACAGATCACACATTCATTATACCCCAAATTTAGCATTAGTATTTAGTGCAGTAGTATTGGCTAGTGGTGAAACTTTTGTATACTTCTGAACATTTTCATGTGTCCATTTGCAGCTTGTCTTAAGAGATAATGACCTGGTTGCTCTTCCAAAAGAGATGGGGGAGCTCATTCGTTTGAGGGAGTTGCATATTCAAGGCAACAGACTCACAGTCCTTCCTCCAGAAATGGGTATGTGTTTATACATTTATATTCATCATCATCATCATCTCATTTAGCCTTCCAAGGATGTTGTACTCAAAAAGTACCTACGCTAGCCATTGCTATTATAATGATAGTCGAAACAGACTTTGTGCTTTTGAAGCTTGAGGGGTGAGCAGAGTAAGCCCGATTCCCTGTAAGGACTTCTCTGTTGATTTCCACCCCGTGGCGCTCATATGACCTTCTGCAGTTGTAAGCGCCGAAAAACCTCTACTAAAACTAAAAAGACATTGAATAAAAATCTAGAAGGTTTTTTGGATACATTGATGCTCATCATTTTTCCCATAAATGAAGATAGAAAATACTTAGAAGTATAGGTTAATCAGAGCTTAAAGCTTGTTGAGATTGATTAAATATTCTTCTGGTTCCTCTACCTCTTTCTTAGCATTTTTTTAAATGAGGAATTGTTTTGTCTTTTTCAGGTAATCTTGATCTGATAGGCACCAAACAGATTTTCAAGGCTGATGGCAACCCATGGGTGACCCCTATTGCTGACCAGTTCCAAGTTGGGATTTCTCATGTGTTTGATTATATCAGATCCGACACCTACAAGTTGTGAGTATACAGTCAAGCACAGATAGCTGGAACATACTAAACTCAAATCCATGGATAGCTTGAACAATTTGCCTTTCTAAGACTGAATTGTAATATTTTCTTTGTAGTGGCAGCACTGTTTTCTGAGACACCCACATTGATGTGTTGAACTTTGAACAACATATCTTGGAAAGACCGTTCAAATTTTTCCTCACAATCATTTTAAAATCAAGAGACATCACTGTACATTTCCTGTAGTGTACTGAAGGTGCTAGAACTTCCTTGAATCTAGTCATATGAGCTTGGGTGGTGGGGTGTGATCAAAGACAGAGTGTGTTGCTCCTTTGAGCCATATAGTGTGTGAATTGTGTTTGTGTGTGTGTGGGTGTTTGAACATGAACATATGGATTTTGTCATGTACTGTTTCATGGAGAGGGCATATGGAGATGGCTTCAGTACACTTTCTGTCCTTTATTTTCTTTGTTTTGGGATTTTTTTAAATGTTACAGCTTGAACAGGGAGGACATGAGGAAATATATTCAGTGTACTTTTTCTTAACTCTGTTGTTTTTATTTTGTACTCTTTGTATTGGGAGGGCATGCTTTAGTACACTTTTAATTTTATTTTCCTTGATTTTCTTTTGCACAGTTTGTACGGCCGTCACATGGCAGCGGGGGCTGCTCCACCGCCAAAAACCAATGACAAGTCAAAGAAGATCAGCCGAATCAAGAAATAAATGTAACTATTGGTTCATACCCTTAGTCCCATTACTTCTGCATAGTGAAAATATTATCTTATAACTTATTCGTGGTGACTTTACTCTTTACAATATTTGATTTGATACTCTGTGCGTTCAATTTGAATGGCGCTGATGTGTCAGTTGTCAAAAGTTTGAATGTGAGCTGTTAGATAGAAAGCTAGACAGCGGTCATCTTCTTTGGACATAAGTAATATTTCCTCTGCTTGAAGGTTGTTTAATATATACGCTATAGGTTAAGAGCATAGTACATGTCTACGGAAGCATTTAATTTTACTTTGAGAAAAAAAACTGCATCATGTTGCTTTTCTTTTTAAAAATGTTTTTGTGTATATGATATACAATAACCTTCGTACATTGACCAGAATGTGCTATTGTAACACTAGTCCGGGGTGGTCCCCAAATCTTTTTTCTTTATACTTCTTCTAGTTGTTTTATCATTTTTATAAGGATCAGTGCCAGGAGGTTCATGTAGAATGAGACCAATTTGGAAAAACTTGCTTTTCAGTCAAAGAGATATTTCTTACTATTCAAGGTATTGTGATACAGAAGTGTGGGGATAGATGCACAAAGTTAGGTTCTAATATTGCCACAGTGATATTGCTCTGTATTAGTTTGATTTTGTTCATTATTTGTATATATGCATGTTGAGGCCTTTTTAATAAAAAAGACCACAATTGCTTTGGAAGGCATCAGTCCTAGGTTTGAATGTTTTTACCATGATTGGACTTGGATGAGTTGTTTTTTTAAGGGAGAATGTTAGGCTGAGTTAGATGGCCCCTGTGTTGATGTATAAGAGGCCTAAAATTCTTCCAGCCATTTGTTATTGTATGAAGAGGTAGCCATTATGCTTTTTACTAGAATTAGGATGCAGTCGGCATGGTATCTTTGATCAAGCTGTATGGCAGCTTTGGTATTTGTCTCTAGTAAAAATTGTCTTGATAAATGATTCAGCACTTTCCTAGCAACTACCGAGAGCTTAGGTGTTATATTGCCTCTTAACAGACATGACATATGTGATGTAGTCACAACCATTTGAGACATTGCAAAGATATGTATAGATTGTGAGTGTAGTGGCATGCATATAAATATCTCAAAACGGACTGAGGTTGATATTTTAGTCAAGTTGTTTTCTTTTTGCTTTTAAGAAGAATTTTATGTGTCGCTTGTGAATGACATGCACATAGATCTGGTTATTTTAAAAACAAGTATACTGTGAGATTGGCTTGAGAGTTGTTCGAACTGTAACGCAGAAGTCTAAAGTGTTTTCAATATATATTCACTCCGCTTCCATTGTATTTGTTTCATTTAGGATATTCTGATGTTGTTCTTAGGCTCTATGCCACTGTTACAAGAGGCCTCAGTTGGTGTCATGCTGAGCTTTGGTGTGGAAGGCCGTGGTTCAAATCCCAAATAGAGCATTCTTGAATTTGAATGGGGGGAGGGAGGGGGAGTTTTCAAGGCTTTCCACCCTCTTAAATAACCTTACAATGTTGACAGGGAAGATAAACTCATACTCTTTCTAATTCTACTGTTATTGGGTTTTCAGTTTTTGCTTCTGTATAGACAATCAAGTTCATATCCTCTCCTCTTCCTGTTATGTCTCTCGTGCCTGGTACATCTTTGCTGAAACTTGTATGTTCAATTACACTGGTGCTATTTTGTACATATACTTCTATACAATTATTATCATGAATGCAGATAAGTTCTGTCTGTATAATTGTTCTCACATATATTGTTGCTGGCTTTAGAAAAATGAGTGACTGTTTGATCCTGCTTAACTGGATGAGTGAGGAAAAATAGGAGTTACATGTACTCATTTTGCTGTTATCGACAAGATTATGATTCTATTAACAAAATGTAACTAATTTTGATCATAGTCACTTATGTTAGATACTTTGTTTGTGATATCAATTCATAAAAAGAAAAAATGTATATGAGCCATTCTCAGCAGGTCAACTTAACCCTATAGACTTGAGGTCACACCTGAGCATGCTCCACTGATACCCTTCTGCGCACTGAATGCTTGTCTCACCATAATGTGGTGCAAATCTAGCAGTTGACCCAAGGCAGCTGAATGTGTGTAAGGTTCAGAGGGCAAGGGCTCAACAAAGGGTTGAAAAGGTACATGAAGCTTAATTTTTTATAAATTGGTTTTATGCTCTAGTAATTTCCATGCAACTAGTCTTTCTTTTTTAGATTAATTTTCAAGATTAAAGGGTAATTTAATGCAACACTGGCACAGGAAAATTGGTCAATTTTTTAGTTCCTCTTAAGCTTTTTTTTTTCTTGGAGCACAACAATTACTTCCATGTTGACACATTTTATGTGCAACTTACAAGTATGTATGAACTATAATTGAGATAAAAAAAATTTAACAGTTGACATTACATTAAACAGTAGTTTCCAACAGAGTTCCAGTAGTGGCCTGTTTGAAAGGAAAAAACTAAATGTGCTACAAACAGATTAGACTGAAAATCATTTTAATGTGATTTGATACTTGCTTCAACTGTGCTTGACTCTGGTTCTCTAAGGTAAGGTAATCTTGTCAGCACAAAGCCATTGGGTGTAGTATTGTTAAATCCTCTCTCAATTTTAACCGTTCTTGTGTTCAATAAATTTACATGTAATATGTAAAATGTAGACAATTTTTTACGTATAAGATTTAGTATACATCTGCATTTTTCCAGCTGCCTGCTGTGACTTGTGACATGTTCTTGAAATGCACAATACATACTTTCATTCTGACAGTGATCATTGCTGTTTGTTTCTTGAGTTGATTTTTAGTTTGTCTTAATAGTGTCATAATGCATAACATATGAAGAAACATATTTTTGTGAGGCTTTATGATGAAATCAGGCGCTGGTCAAAATAATGAAACTAAAGAAACCGGCATTTTTCTGCCGATTTGGCTTTTTTTTAAATTTTCGCTCAACACTAGGGCTGGATTCTGCTCGGTTAATCGAAGGCTTGCAAAGCAGTGGACGGCTTGCGCTAGAGGCTTGCGAGCAGGCTTGTGATTTGTTTTGCCTCCCGCTTGCTACCGGAGGGAACTTTCGATGAGTTGTGACTCGCGGACAGTCCTGTTGTACTGTGTCATGACATCGCGAACTCTTGTGGCTGTGGGCTCAGTACATATTACAGAAGATTCTCTGGTTATTTGCGTTGAGAGGCTTGCACCAAAAGTGTAAGATCATTGTTTTTTTCATAGTTCGGTTGTAAAAAACAAAAAGCTCTATTCAATGCACTTAAAAATTAATATTGGATCGGCTATTCTTACGATTTTAAGGCCTGTTTATTTTTAATGTGCACAAGCCAAGCGCTTCATCATCGCACGCAAAAGACCTCAGTTCGATTTCCGTATGGGGAGAAATTTTTACTGAGAACCTCCGTCTTTCTGCTGGGGCGTTGTTCCCTCTCAGCCCAGGTTGGCCCTGACACTGGGTTGAAGTAGGCCTAGCCCGTCTCCTAAATGTTCTGTATTATGTCACTGTGAGTGTAACACATCTACAAAATAGGTTACATACATACGATACAAAAGCCAATCACAACGACCCCTGGAGTTTTCCATTCTAGGGTAATCTAAGTCTACTTATTCTTATTACTACCAGAAACCTAGGTCCTGACCTGACCATCAATGATTTATTTATAGGGGCACCAGCCGTTCATGTCCAGGTGCTGTTTTAGCCTCTTTTTCCTGTATTCAGATTAATAATATCTTTTTGCCAATTTATTGTTTCCGCTTCTATGTACCCCATATCTATGGTTCTCAACCTGGAAATCGCCTATAATTCGCTGTAATTGCCTTCCCCCCACCCCTTCTCATCACCCCCCCCCCCCTATAGTGTCATTAGTGTCATCATTTATGTTACCGTCTATTTTTATTGATAACACGTTTATGGATTAAGGGCAGTATTAATGATAATTAAGAAGAAAAAAAACCCATCAATTAAATAAATAAATAAATAAATACATAAATAAATAAATACATAAATAAATAAATACATAAATACATAAATAATGAATAAATATATATATAAATAATGCTAATGATTATCATAATACAAATATTGATAATGAGAAGAAGAAGAAGAAACACGGTTATAACATCAATATAAAAAACAATAATACTAACAATAAAATTGATTTGAGTAAAATAATGAAATGATATTAAAATAATAAATGGAGCAATATTATTATAAATCAAAACTTCTAAAAGGACACTACTTGGAATCCGCCGATTGTATGGGATCAGATACCTTGTATGAATACGTTAAATTACGTAATTCAATCCATTCAATTTGAGGTTATATGTTCAGATCACCATTTTTTTTTTTTCAAAAGGAAAGCAGATATCTATTCTCATTTTGTGTTTGGTCATTCTATTGAGTCATCTATAATACCAATCTCCTCGTGGTTTAAGGAGTGGAAATATGATGTATAAACTCAACTATTGCATTTTTGTTCTTTGTGTAGAGGGTCACATCCTTTTACCGACATCCTCTTGTGTAAGGAGTGGAAAGAAAGATGGAGAGACCCATGTTTTAAATCACTTTCAACTTGTAATGTGGCTTGTTTTTGTTTTGTTTTTTCGACATCATTTCGTCCATACTTGAATGAAATGGATTGAGATATATTCATATATTTCATTCGGATAGAGAGATACAGGGAGGGGGGGAATGTAAAATTGTATTGCTTTTATATATTAAAGGTAATATTTAAAAAGGGAGTGCTTATTTAGGCCACATATGGCCTAAATAAGGTAAGGGAGGGGGGTTTAGCTTATTTAGGCCACAGTGGACTGTGGCCTAAATAAGGTAAGGGAGGGGGGTTTAGCTTATTTAGGCCACACATGTTCAAACTACTCTTTTCAGGCAACTGAGTTCATTCCACTTTCATAATGGTGCACCTTTCTCATTTAGTATGGTTTTGCCTCAGTGTACAACTTATAAATCATAACCATAATGAATATTGTAAAGAACAAAGCACAAAACGCAAAATTTTGCTCAATTCCAATGGTTTGAATGAGGGCCGGATTTTTCCTTCATGGAGGGGCAAAAGCTAGGCTACCATTTTGGCACACTTTGGTCAAGTGAAAAGGTCAAATCCTCCGAATGGACTTTCGGGTTAAATTTGGGGTATAAAAAGTGTGTATACTACGTGGCTGAGTCAAAGTTACACTATCTTTGCCTGAGTGACACTCTCTCGTACTGTCTCGTAGTAGTACATGTAGGCTAGTAGGCCTAGTAGTAGTAGTAGCAAAGATCGTGTAGAGAATATTTGGTAGTAGATTCTATCTAGTAGGCAGTTTAGTGAACGTGCTCGCGGCAGGGCGAATTTGCCTCGATAAGCACTGTAGACTTTTGCGATCGGCCACGAAGCCTCGTGTTTTGATGGGTCTAGATCTAGATCTAGATCTAAACAACTCAGTGCTATTCGCACTGCCACACCCGACAGGCCTAGATCTACATCTTTTTAAAAGGAAAAGAAAGATCATCAAAATGGTTGAATTCGCATGAAAATTGATTAGGTAGAACTAGAACTATTAAAACTTGCTTCTGAAAACAAGGCAATTTTTATACGAAGGCCATTTTTATAACTCGATGAAATAAAAGCTACTGACTGTGTACTGTGTTATTCTGTATAAAAATAAATTATGAAACTTCAGGACGTAGATCTATTATTATTTACCAGCATCTTTTGATGCCTGAGCTGTAGAGGTTGAAGTTTTCACAACACTAATAGATCTAGTAATAGGGTTAGGTAATACGGCTTTCCGTAAAAAATGCATAGATCTACAAAAGCCGACCACCGAATCGACCGGGCGCCTCGGTCTCCCCTGCACTCTGATTCAATATTATATTTAAACAAAAATGCTAATCAATGAAAATTGCAAATTGATTATAATAGTATAGTCCTGTAGAGGATAGGTGGACTCCGGGGTCTGCATAGCGAAATACTAGGTTTTAGGATGTGGACCCCGGAGTCACCGTAGTGAAATAAGGTTTGGTTTAAGTAAGGATTGGTACTAGGTTTTAGGACAGGTGGACCCTGGGGTCACCGCAGTGAAATAAGTAGGTTTCTTTAAAGATTGGTGGAACCCGGAGTCACCAAGGCCATAGAGGATTAAGAAGGTTTAATTAAGGATTGGTGGTCCCCCGGGACACCTTGATTAAACCTACTTATTTTACTACGGTGACCGCAGGATCCACCTATTCTAAAACCTAACTAGTGTTTCGTTAGGTAGACCCTGGGGTTCACCTTAAACCTACCTATTTCACTACGTTGACTCCAGGGTCCACCAATCCTTAAAATTAAACCTAGATCTATCTACATGTACTTATTTCACTACATTGACCCCAGGGTCCACCAATCCTTAATTAAACCTAGATCTACTGATTTCACTACATTGACCCCGTGGTCCTCCAATCCTTAATTAAACCTATCTACTTATAATTTCACTACTTTGACCACGGGCTCCGCCAGTCCTATTATAAAATAAACTTAGATCTACTTATTTCATTATGTTGACCCCGGGGTCCACCGATCCTTAGTTAAACCTAGATCTACTTATTTCACTACGCTGACTCCGGGGTTCACATCCTAAAACCTAACATTTTGTTAGGTAGACCCCGGGGTCCACCTATCCTTTTGGCTAGATAGACCCCGTAGTCCGCCTATCCACTTTCTTGATAATAACTGAAAACAATACATGCCAGTTGTCATTTATAGTGAAGACAAATGAGGGGAAAAAATATAATTAGGTAGACTTTAATTTGTCCAAAAAATTGCAAGTGCAAGTGAAGATCATAAAATAATTTTGTTATTTTCTGGTCACCTTTCCAAGGACCTTAAATTGATTCTACATCACATGTCATGTACGATACGGCTGTGAAGGAAAATGGATGTGAAGAGTTTTAAAGAGATAATAATGTAACTTGTAAAAAAAACAATGCTTTACATTGGTTTGGTTATTTTGACTACATATGTGGCCTAAATAAGGTAAGGGAGGGGGGTTTAGCTTATTCAGGCCACAGGTGTGGCCTAAATAAGGTAAAGGAGGGGGGTTTAGCTTATTTAGGCCACCTGTGGCCCAAATAAGGTAAGGGAGGGGTGTTTAGTTTATTTAGGCCATATGTGGCCTAAATAAGGTCACCCATTTAAAAATAATAGCCATGATAACGATGAAACCTAGGTCTCTGTTACTACAATACCACGCTCCCTCTCACTTATCCACTCGCTTAGCTGATCAACGGCGGGAAGTTAAAAATAACTTCAGCTCTCTACGTCTTGCACCGTGGCCTTCGTGATACGTAGGCTACGCTTGCACCAAAACAAGCCCAGCCTCTCCCTTCCTCCACGGTTCAAAGTTCACACAGCGAGCGGTACTGCTGTTTGAACACATCAAGCGGTCCTGCCGCCATCGAGCGGTCCTGCGGCGTGCCCTTGCTCGGTGTTTTGAGAGAGCACAAGTCAGCAGGTCATGTTTCGAGCTTGTCCTGGGACAATTCACTAGGCCTAGCGCAAATCAGTACTGTGTGAATCGTGGGTCTTGTGGCTGCGGACGAGATTTGAGACTTGAGGGTTGTCCGCTGCTTTGCGCAAGTCTTCGATTAATCAAGCAAACTACAGCGCCACGCCGCGCAGTGACACTGTGGGCGGGACCTCTCTCTTTTTCTGACGTAAGTGGCTTCGTGGATTGCAAGCAGGGTGGGGATGATGAGGGGGTCTGACATGAGTGGCTTCGCGGATTGCTA